CATTGTTTGCAAAGGTTCCAAAAAGGATTTGACGATCAAATTATTATCAATGATACTGTGTCGAATCTGGTTTCTTGTTTCATGTTGTGTTATAATTCGTGCTAAAGAGCCTTTATTCTCATACTCTTCTTTCATTGTATCGATTATAACTGGCACTATGGAACCTGCATATGCCTCCAAACAACTTAATATTGCAAGAGGAAACTTTGCAGCGAAAACAAAGTTTGGGTCTGCTGCAAAATTGTTTGTGATTTCCAATGATTTTTCTACTTCTTGTTCAAATCTATCGTTTAAATACATCGAATCGAGGAGAGCGCACTTTACTTTACTGTTCGAAATAATTGAATCTCTATGTTCCGTCGAATCGGCCAAACATTCTCCTACAGTTATCAAAATCACAGCATTGAAGATCAAGAGTTTATGAGAAAATGATTGGCTGCGTATAGGTTTTGATTGGGCGGATTTTTTTTCATTTATGTTCAACTCCTGTTTCTCCTGATGTTGGATGACAAAGAAATGGGAAAGAGAATGTAAGTAGCTTGTTGGAGACACCAACGAAAAAGAATGAGGTAAAATCGTCCGTATGCGAACGGTGTAGTGTGACTGCTTCTTCTTCTTCTTAACTAACACATCTATACATGTAAGTCGCCATATTGGTTAAAATGTTCACAAATGGCACTCGATACACTGTATACATGTTCAATATGACCGCGCCCATTGTGTACGACGGTGTGAAGAAGAAGAAGCAGTATTATAAGAAACTGTGTATGGGTTTACATAGGGATGGGTAAAATGAAGCGTAACTTATTAGCTGCATAAGCAATACATATTCCAAGTACATTGCATTATCATCAAATAATAATGAAAGTTCATACACCTTGACAATGTAATTTTTATATTTGAATGTTGATTTTGAATTAAAGAAGCAGTTGAGTATTATTTATCACCGAAACCAGACGTGTTTAATTAATGTCAATTCATTTAATGTATTATCCTTACAATAATGGTCCTTCGACTAAAATCAAAGAACACCAAGAAAAACCTATGAATTTCTACGAAAACCACGACTACGAAAAACTACGATTTGTGAATTTTATTTCAAAAAAAATTACGGAAAAGTTTGTGACGAAAAAAACTAAGACCTTAATACGTTCAGCAAAGAAACGAACAAAGACACGAAAAAAAAGTAAATCATAATGAATCAAGACGATTTTAAGAGGCTCTTGTCAGAACAGAGCATAAGAGAAGATAATTTTAACAAGTTTTGTTCGGCATATTTTAATGAAAAAGGTGCGAATGAAATTGACGTTCAGTTTTTTGAAATCAAACTCGAGAAGTTGGAGCTGTGGTGGCTCCAGTATGATAAGGCCAATTCAGAATTGATACTGGTCGAGTTGGATGCGGAGGAACAAGACATTAAAAAAATTGAAAATATTAAAAAGTGGTGTTACTGATATTGGCATTGCGAATGTGTTGGCCGACGAACCAATATTGCGGGTGAATGACAGTGAAGACGATGATGCGTCAGCACAAACAGCTATACCATACCTGAAGTACGAGTATTGCAATTCCAAGTGATTGAAATATAAGCTCTGCTACGTGAAATAAACAATGAACAGCTGAATGTTTCAAGTGGAATTGCAAGTGCACAGTTGGAAATGCTAAAAATGAATTGGGGCGAGTTACGTGCTACGCACAGAACAGTAATTTTTGCTGCAATGGTAAATTTAAATGCGTTGCAAACTGAATACTTGTCCGCAAGCGGCAAGTTGATTGATATGGTAAAGAAAAAATATGAAACGCAAGTTTTCCAAAGCTAAAATTGCCGGATTTTGACAGGAAATCGTCATGGCGAGCTTTTTGCGATTTGTTTGATGAGATTGTTCACAATAACAATAGTTTAACAACCAAAACAAAGGCACAATACTTGAAAACCGTTTTAAAAGGAGAAGCGGTTACGGTGCTAAGTCATTTGGGCGCGAACGGTGAAAATTATCAAGCAATTTATGACGCGCTGGTGAAACGATACCACAATAAACGCAAGTTAGTCAACGAATTGATTGGAAAGTTAATGAGCATTATGAAACAAACAACGGAGACTAGCTCAGCTCTACGTAATTGACATGATGTTGCCAGTGAGTGCATAACGGCGATTTCGAACTTGGGAGTGAACACCAAAGACTGGGATCCACTCGTAGTGTACATTTTAACACAAAAGCTGAGCAAAAATACAATACTTGACTATTAAAGCGAGTTATCTGATGTGCGCGAACTTCAATCATTGAAGGAATTTTTGAATTATGTTGAAAACCGCTTTATGGCGCTTTCGTCCTCCGAAAAATAGTGAAAAATCGGGAGAAAAAAATTACGAAAAAAATAAAAAATCCGACGAAATGCCGTTTAAGTGTATGTATTGCGAAAAACCGCACTCAGTGTATAAGTGTCCTGAATTCATGAAGCTTGAAGCTATAGGGCGATACGAATGGGCAAAAGAAAAGAAAGTTTGTTTTGTATGTTTGCAAATTCATCGACAGGGAGAGTGCAAAAGCAAGTTTCCGTAATGTAAAACCTTCAACAAAAAACATAATATTTACATTGTGGCATATGGAGACGAAAAAAGATGTAAGAGTTTCCTTGGTCGCAACATCGATAGAAGAAAATGAACCAGTTATGGAAAATGTGAGTTCATTAGTGGTGGCAAAAGACGAAGATAATGTAAAAAATCAGATTAAGAGCAGCTATCGATGGTGGTTCGCAAAGTGCAATTATAACGGAAAGAGCATTACAGTTGCTCGCGTTGCCATCTGAAAAAATTGCTGCTGGAATCGATGATGTAGATGGTACAGAGAGCGTATCGAAAAAACGTGCAACGCTGCAAATTTTCTCTCGTTTCTCTGATGATTATCAGTTGAATACGCGCGCATTGGTTTTGAAAAGAATAACGAATTTATCAGTGTTCAAGGGAGATTTAAAACCATACGAATATCTACATGGTCTTCAATACGCGGACCCAACGATTAACGATACCAGTCAGATTGACATTTTATTGGGAGTAGAGGATTACTGCAAAATCGTAAAGCACGGCCTAATCAAGGGCCCAGAAGATTGTCCGATCGCCCAAAACTCGGAATTCGGTTGGTTAATAATGGAACAATGCAGTGAAGATCGTAAAACAGTCAAAGTGACGTCATTAATCGCAAACATTGAAGTGAATGAAAAGTGTGCAAAATTCTTTGAGTCGGAAGATATTGATGAAGATGATAGCGACGATGACCTTGAATTATCCGAAGAAGAAAAATATTGTGAATCTTTTTTTTCGTCGAATCGGAGCGAAAACGGTAGATTTAATGTTTTAATGCCATACAAAAACAAACAAAAACCCAAATTGGCTGATTCAAAAAGGGTCGCATTAGCTACGTTGTTTCAGTTAGAAAAGAAATTTAAAAAATACCCCGCGCTACCAAGTTGCAAAAGGGCATATGGTTTTGGTAGATAGACCAAGAAACGATGCATATTACATTCCTCATCATGCTTTCAAAGACAGCACTACGAATAAGCTGCGAACAGTGTATAATGCCTCACATAAAACATCAAATGGGCTATCATTGAATGAACAACTTGCAGTTGGTTGCAGAGTTCAGCAACCAACGATTTTCACCTTGACACTTCGATGGAGAAAATTCAAAATCGCAATCATTGCGGACGTCGAGTATAAGCAGATCGAGTTAAATGAAAGTCAACATCATTTATACAAATGATTTTGTGAAGAGATTCATCCGACGAACAAATAAAGAATTACAAATTAACAACGGTTGCGTTTGGCTTGTCACCGGCTCCATTTATTGCTATAAAAGTTGTACGTGAAATGGAGAAATTGGTGGCAAATGAGTTTCCTCATGTAGCAGAGGCAATCGTAAAATGCTTCTATGTTGATGACTACACGGGTGGCGCGAATTCAATCGAAGAAGGCATCTGAGGCAGAAGATCTGAGGCAAGTGTTTTCGAGCTTCTGTTTTAATCTACGCAAGTTTATGAGCAGCTCGTCTCAATTTTTGGAAATGTTGCCTGAGTGCGACAAAGAAAATCATGAAACGCACGTAACTAAAGCATTGGGAATCTCGTGGCAACCAAAAACCGATGACTTTACTTTTACAAGCCGATTGGACATGAATTCAAAGCCGACCACAAAACGACATCTATTCTCGGAAATTGCGACGCTTTATGATCCGATGGGTTGGTTCGCCCCGGCCATTGTAAAACCGAAAATTCTCATGCAAGATATGCTTGGGTATTGAAAAAAGAAAACGACAAAAACTTCGAATCGGATGATGAATTGCCGAGTGATTTCATGCAACAGTGGATAAAAATAAAAGAAGAAATTCCATTATTATCAACGATTCAAATTCCACGATGGTTGCATATTGCACCTGAAAATGAAATCCAAATACACGGTTTTTGTGACGCAGCTGAACCAGCTTATTTAGCGTGTGTATACATACGAAGTAAAGTAAATGAGTGCATTGACATGAACTTAATTGCTGCAAAAACAAGAGTTTCGCCAATAAAAAAGCAAACGATACCGCGATTGGAACTTTGCGGCGCAGTTTTATTAGCAAAACTAACGAAAACTGTGTTGAAAAATATGGATTTAACAGATGTTGAAGTTTTTTTGCGGTGTGATTCACAAATCGCGTTAGCTTGGATCCAAAGCAGCACGAAAAAATATAAAAAAATACGTTGCTTCGCGAGTGGAAAAAATTAGAAAAAGGTAACAAATGCAAAGTGGGCTCATATTTCAGGTGAATTGAACCCAGCCGATTGTGGAACTCGCGACATATATGCGAGTGAGCTAATAAACAATGACTCTGGTGGCACGGGCCAGCATTTCTACGTGAAAACAGTGACTTTAAAAAAAATGACAATCGACAATTTGAAATCACAGAAGAATCCAAAGTGAGTATTTTGTTGGAAAGCAATAAAGAAA